GGAGGGTAATGAGCTCCATTTTTAAAGCACGAGGAAATTAGATTCTTATAAATGTCAAACGCAGTTATTGTCCCCCTTCCTTGAAACAGAGCTGAGCTGGCTGGAGCCCATTGTCTCTCAATCAGCTTTGCTATGGATTAGACACATCCCGTCTCACACCAGGAATGTGCTTAGTAGAAAAATATCACTGCACAAAGCATACAAGATTTAACACTCAAGCCATGTACTAATGGATACATGTACAATAAAAGCCAATATCATGTTACAAACCTGAAGCTAACATGAGATAATAAGATACAGAAATCTGAAAGGATACAGATGATTGTTTTCTTTGTGTGTAATAATTCTGACTACCTGGGATTTCAGTTTTCAAATAAAGGAGATGAAGTGAGGGAAGGTGACTTTTCCTCTTGACTGCTTATGAAAAAAGGAAGCAGTAAGTCTTCTTCATAGTGAATATGCTTGTAATCAAGTCATGTCCAAATATTTTGTGTATTTTACTGGTATCTCCTGGGTAACTGCAGCTTCACAGAGGACTTTGTTGATCCACTGTTTTTCAGTTCTTTCCTGAAAAAAAAACAAGAGGTGGTTATTTGTTCATACATCAAAGCTAGCTCTGTGAATTAGTCTTTCATTCATAATGAATGAAAATCTTGCCAGTATGTGTTAAGACACCACACTTCAGAAAAATGGCTATCGTTGTCTGGGGAGGGCAAAATGTGAGGTGGAGAGAGGTCTTTCTAAAATCAACCTCCTCTCCTACATCCCTATTTTTAACATCTTACTTGAGGATAACAATCACTTGTCTGTCCTTAGCTAGAGATTGTATCTTATTTCCTCTCTGGGGTAGGAGCTCTGCTAGAAAGTAGCACAATCCTTCTTGGTGTAGGAAGGCTTAAGGATGGAGCAAAGCTCTAGATTCCCTTTTGCAGTGATGAGATACAGACTCAAGCTACTTGCATGAACTTTACCATCCATACTAACCCAAGCTCCAAGTGCTGCAGTATGCTGTTTCCAAGGTGGAACTGTGTCAAACACATACCATGGACATGCTGTGTTGGCGACCCTGCTCAGGACTGCTACAGGATGTCTTTAGAGATGATGTGGTGGGGGTAATGCGACTCTGTGCTTTCTTCCATACAGGAAACTCAGCAAAAGCAGATGAGCTGTTCAGTCCTAGATTTGTTTTTCTGGAGTTCTTTTTTTTACAAGTATGTTGGGGTTTTTTTCCAGTTGCCTTTTCAATAATATTAAGTCTTCCTTCCTATCTTCTCCATCTCAACTTGTGCTTCTTTTTTCATTTCTGCTTCTATTGAATGAAGTTTCTGGTGTTGCCTATAGAAAACAAACAGTAACTTGAGTCTTCTATTTTACACAAGCAAGAGATATTGAAAGATATTCCTAGCATGTGTCACCAGACATGTGAACAGCACTTTCCCATTAGAACTCTAGGAATTTCTACTCGTTGCTTCAAGTCCCTGCAAAACAGTGGACCATAGGCTTGAATCCATTAACACCCATCATGGAAAAATCATCCAACTATTTATATGGCAGTCATTTTATTTATTTAAATTTAGTTTCATAAACTAAAATTAACCCAATTTTGGGGGGAAAACATCCTGAGGATCTTACAAATATCTTCAAAGCCTTGGACACCATGAAGCAAATTAAACTAGTTTTCTGTGATTGTGGACAACTTTTATTTCTGATAATTTTCCTTAATGTCTGTGCTACAGCCGTACCCTATGAATTAAATAAAGAAACAATTAAAGGCATCTCTCATGTAGCCTGGTGGTTGAATGGTAATCAGCAGCTGGTGATTAAAACATCCATATGACTCAAATCACAAATCCGAAGTCAGCTTTTACATTGCACTATCCTCATTAGCTAGGCACTTTACTTAATTGGTCCTCTAGTGCAAGTGTTACTAGTTGGCCATTCTGGGCCAGGGATGTGAAGTGCTGCTGCCTCTCTGCCTGCCTCTCCCTGGAGAGCTTTGCTTTGACTGACTGTGTTGGAGTCTCTTCCTTCGCAGGACTGTGCGTGGTTTGCAGTACTCAGGTAAAAACCATGTTTCCACCTGCCAGAAGAAGCTCAAACCCATGTTGGTGACCGGTGTTTTTTTGCTCTCATGGCAGCAATTGTTGCACATCCCTGGTCCCAACTCTCATTAGAATTGTTGCACCCTGGTCCCATTTGGTCTTCAGGCAGCCTTGCAACACGTAAGGCACTTTCATGTCTTGTCTGCAGACTGCCCAGGTTTTACATGTCCTTAGTCTCTCAGATGTTGTTCTGTGTTCCAGAGAAGCTTTTGCTTTTGTCTCTCCCCACAGAAAGTGGGTAGGGTGGTCCTCTACCACAATAACATCCACGGCTCTGCTGATGCTTCATATTTGTGGAGGCATGGTGGGGGAGGAGGACGGGAGCGGCATGAGGAGCGAGTGCTCACCAGGGGCAGCCACTGGCTTGATTTGCTCCGCAAACTTCTGCTGGGAACACCTGATCAGCAGCATATATCCTGAAAGGACTTTCTCTCCTTGGTGTTTTGGTTTTGGAAACTGCTGGAGGTCGTAGATTAACTGGAGATAGGTGACCACGCAACAGGCTCAAACCTGTTTTTTCTTGCCGTTAGGCCTTCTGCCTTAAATAACCCCATGTGATGGATATACTTATTTATTCCAACTACCTGTGACTGGTGTCCCAGTTGTGAGTTTGCTCATCTGCCTCATGTCAGCACGAAAGAGTGAGTCTTTGTGTTCTTAGAATAGAACCCTTCTTTTATTATGCTGCAACTCTATTACTTTATATTAAGCAATTGTTTTCTTTTTTGGGGTCTTATGACTCTTAAGCATGTAGCCACCTGCACAGTGAAACCCACTGGGCTTCACAGACAAAAGAAATCATTCTGCTATCAGCATACGGATGTTACAAAATGTTGCCATGTTTGTAGAAAGGCAATTTTCCAGTATTAACTCAGCTGTTCCCCATTTATTTTTAAAATATCACGAGTCCAATCCTCATTATAGATCTAATTTTAAAGAACACTGGAGATAAAGCAACAAGACTAAGAAAGATGATGAATTTCTACTAAGCCTGGAGACTTTTGAGTGCCAGGTTTCTGTCTGAAGTCATTTTAGCCTCGAGTGAAAGACAGAGAAGCAAAAAGAAGTGTTAATTGTAAAGGGCATGCTGCAGGCTCACTGCAGTCTACATGCCAAAGCCTTAGATAGGATTTTGTGTGGGGAGGATGAGTCCCCTGTCTCAGCAAGCCCACAGGTACAGTTCTGCTTTGCAGCATAGCCCATCAGAGTTCTCCAGATGGCACAAAGACCTGCCTTTGTCCTGCACAGCTTTAAACTGAGGCATCTATTGTAACTGTGTGCTTGTTGTCCAAGGTTTTTTCTCTAAAGTGACTAGAGAATAAGATGCTAGAGAGAAAGAAGAACCTCCAGAGAGCAGATCAGTCTTGGGTAAGATGCTGCCCTCAGTGTAGACCCCCCTGTAGACCCACATCACCTGTCCTGACAGCCCATGGGGACCTGCTCTTGCCTTTTGGGCTTGGGCTTCAGCATTATTGGGATTGCTTACAAATGCCACATTGCTGAATCATGAAAAATGAGCAGGAAAAGGTGGCTTAGGTGGATCACATCTGCCCCCTCCCTTATATTCCCAAAAGCCATCACTGCTCTTAGGAAGGTATGACAGGCAAACTGTTTGCTGCTATTGCTCTGAAGCCACTGCAGTGAGTGTGAAGGACTAGTCACCATCATGTGTCCTTTCTCTGCTGTGGCAGGCATAGTTTGGCAGAGCCCAAGAGTAGGGCTGCTAGAGTTGCTTTTGTTGGTATATGGTGCTGGAAGACTAGTATGGTGTTACCTCTTTAGTTTCCTTAATTTCTTCTAGGAATGCTTAATTTATCACATTAAGTAGATAAATGACCTGTGGGATGTGAAAATCAGAGCTGTCTAATAGGTCTTCACTGTGTCTCCCATGTTTGTTAGCGCTTCCTGGGCACCTCTGGTTAACCATGGTGAGAAAGTTTCACTGAACATGAAGATGCCGCTGTGTGGGATCAAGTTCACAGGTTTCTGTGGATGAGCTCATGTTTTTATTGACATTCTGCAAGCTGTAGTTGGGAGCTTTTGGTGAGAGGGTGGCTGTGTGTAGATGCTTCTTTTGGCTTACAAGGCATCACGGTGATGTTGTTTGAACATAGCAAGTGTTAGCCCCTGTTCTGGATGGCTGATCACATGAGCCTCTATAGAAACAGATTTCTGCTCTAGGCATCCTCAGCAGCTCTCCCAGGGAAAGAAGAAACCTAATGAAGCTGCATTCCCCACTCCTAATACAAGCTCCTTTCAGCAGGAAATGGGCTTGGACTTCCAGCCATGTGTGCAGTTCTCCACAGCAAGCAGTCAGCCCCACAAGATAGGCATGAAACATCTTGTAATTATGAAGCAAGGTAGCTCAAAAATGCAAGGAGAACTAGTGTTTAGCAGAATTGCAAAGCTGTAAAGAAGATGAATGTTTTATTGATTAGGGGATTTTTTTTTCTCTGCTGACTGAAGAGGGGTTTGCGGTAGAGCTGCCACTCCTTGTGTCTGAGCAGTGTGGAAGGAGTAAACCTCACTCCTCTACTGGTGCTTTTTCTGGCTCAAATCCAAGGGACAGGATTTGCAAGAGGATATTACTGTGCAGACAGACTGGACTTAACATGTGTTTTGGACCTCTCGTCTGTCTCCTCTGAATGCTGCATGGCTCCTGTGCAAAGGCAAGAGCTTGACCTCTGCCACTTGACACCCCATCCCCTGCAGACCACAGAGGCCTCTGGAGAGAGGTGGTGAACTGTGATGGGCAGGGACACAAAGGACTCTGCCATCCATCTTGCTAAAGGTTCATTAAATGGCTTTAATTCTTATTAATTATATGTATTTCTGGCAGAGTTTTTTTTTTAATTTTTCAATGGTACAATATGTTCTAAGTAACTTCCTTTTAAACAGGTTGAAGCCATGAAGAGAGTACTAGAAAGTCTCAACCTGAATATAGTCGAGATGGTGGATGAAAATGCAACCTTGGATGGTGGAGACGTCTTATTTACAGGTATAGTGAAAGTGAATTTGCTGTTCTAGCTACCTTAAAGACTGCCTGTTATCTGACATCAGCATAATAAAACATCATTCCTGTGGTTTGTTAAATCAGTTGTTTACTAAATGTCACAAAGGTGAGTTCTCAGTGCAACCCTCAATGTCCTGCCTAATGCCTGAATAAATGGAATAGCAGTGTACATAGTACAAAGAGCGGCGCTTGCATACAGATTTTATTTTAGCTTGTAAAGTGCCAATAAGAAAAATGCTTTCAGTAGTCAACTGTCTGCAGTTGTTTCATATTTCTTACTACAAGCAGCTACATTCACCAGACTCATATTCAGGACCTGTAAAAGCTTGATGCAGACAATTGTCACTAGTTCAATGAATCAAATGCAAAAAAATGCATTTTTTGTTTATGGAGAAAGTGGTGGAGTTGTCTGTCAGATGTCATGTGCTAGACAACTTATATGCATGGTTGACTTCAAAGATGAAGATACTGACTGTGTTTTTTATGTCATTAAACCCATTAGGCATTTTCTCACATCGGCTGCACACAGGGCTGCTCCCCGCCTGTGCTGAATGAGCCTGTTTGTTTTGATCAACATCACAGTAGATTGTCTGCTTGCCTTAGTTCATCAAGGGGAAAGAAAGCTCTCAAAAGAAGCAGATGAGGAAGGGAGGCCTTTCTAAGGCAATGCAGATCCAGCAGTGATTTTCTCTGGAGCTGAAGGATGATGGTGACTGCAGAGCTGCCTTGAGACCAGAGGAAATCTCAGAGGGAGAAGGAAATGGTCAATCAGTGCTGTACTAATCCAACCCAGCTGTTCTCTTTCCTGACCCAATGGCCATTGCAGAGCTTTAGAAGAGGAAGCTGTTTATGCTTCTGGTGAAATGTGTCTGCTGCGTAAAGATTAATTGCTTTAGATTATCAGCTCACAATTGCAGGTTGCATTTTTTATGCTGAATTTTCAGTTTTACTACTCAGCTAGAGAAAAGAAATATAGAAAATGAAAATCTGTGAAAGATTGCTTCAGAATGTCTCTAAAGCTGGTCTGCTTTAAAAATGTTTATGCTCTGATGAAGAAGCTAATGTCATTTTTTTTTCATGGCTTAAAAAAAACCCAAAAACGAAAAGCTGTAATTGTTTTGCTCTTAATTTTTTCATTCAAGGCAGAGAATTTTTCGTGGGTCTTTCCAGGCGGACAAATCAACGTGGTGCAGAAATTCTGGCTGACACATTTAAGGTTCGTAGACTCATTCATGCCACAGGACATAAAAGCTGTCATTCACTGAACTAGTTCAAAAATTATACTGGCCAAGGTGTTTGTCATACTCATGTACTTTATGTGGGACTAAAAAGGTTTGAACATCCTGTAAAGTGATAAATGCTGAAGTTGGATCTGAGATGTGAGATTGCTGCATAAAAATAAATTGGACAGTGGGAGGCTGGTATTTTTTCAGAGCATATAAACGCTCACGTTCTTCGTGTTCTCATGTATCAGTAATGTGTTCTAATTGACAGTCCCTGGAGAGGTTTTACGTATATACTGTTTAATTAAGCACTTTAATGTATTTCTTTATAGTCTCAACAATAGTAATATTTGAAACATGTTCTGGGTTTTACTCCAGTGCTCCAGACAACACAAGCTGGTCCAGAGGAGTGTGTCATACTTAAACAGTTGACACTGTGCCCTGGGATTGACAATTTGCAGACAGTAAAATTAATTATGGAATATCTCAATATAATTACGGAATTAGGACACTTTAAAAATATTTATAACAGCCATTCCTTGCTTCCATACAGGATTATGCTGTCTCCACAGTCCCTGTTCATGATTCTTTGCATCTGAAGGGCTTTTGCAGCATGGCTGGACCAAACTTGATTGCTATTGGATCAAGTGAAGCTGCACAGAAAGCCCTGAAGGTAAAGCACATAAGAAAATTTTCTAAACAGGACATCTCCTTTTGTTTTGTTTTGTTTTAATATCTGTTTTAGAATGCTGGAATTTTAAAATGGATATAGATCAATGAAAGAGGAAACCAGTACATGAGGAAACTTGGCTTTTAAAATTGCCAGAGGGGAAGTAAAAGTTTTGTCATGAAGGAGGGAGAGGGGTCTAATCCCTTTTGCAAAGATGACCTGTTTATGCAGCATAGACTTTCTGGATAAATCAGTAAGTAATACCAGCTGCAGGGCCCAGAGTCCAGGATTCCCTGTCCCTCCTTCCATCACCACCTGGCTGCAAAGTAAAGTTCCTTCCTGGTCACACTTTTTCCTCTCTGGTCCCATGAGGGTCTCAAAACAGCACAGCTTCAACGGGAAGAAGGGAGAGAAGTCTCACCCCAGCCTGCCCATAGTTTGTGTCTGAACATTTTCCTATAAAGTGGTAGGTGTGGGTTTGAACCCTCAGGCCAAGAGGCCTCATGTATTTGAGTCTCTCTCTTTGCTGGCAGATTTGGAAACCAGTAGTCCATTGTGTAGCAGGTCAAGGCTGTGCTACTACCACCATCCTCAGTGGGAAATGTTTATTGCTGGTGTAGTTTGCACTGGGCTCAGTGGCTTTCCTGCCTGCTGTATGTGTTTAGAGCAAATCTGCCAAATTAAACTTTATCGGAGATGTGGGCACAGAGACACCTGAGATCGTGAATCTCATTATGCTTGTAGGAAACAGCTCATGGAGAAGTCAGCATCTCTGCTCCTGCAGGGTGCAAGAGCTGCAGGCACTGACACTGCAGCAGAAATTTTGGCCAGGCCACCAAAACAGCAAAGGGCAACTGAGACTTTTTTTATCAGGACTTGCTGGAAAGATTAAACCAGAATTTACTTTTCAGTAATGGCAGCAAGTCCTACATTTTCAGTTTTTGATTATACTGATTCTTTTGCCAATAAATAAGAGCATAAGTGCAGGCTTTGCTCTTTGGTTTTGCAGAAGCCTCCTTGATGCAATGTGATCACTGATGCATGGAGGAAGCCAGCTTGTATGTTCCTAATAAGAAATGAAGAGTGGTAGAGATAGCTCTGCTGTATTAGTGAGAAAGCTCTTTGAAATCTGCTCAGATTAAATGTAACTTATGCAACCCAACTTGTGTCTCTTGCCCTGGTTCTAAAGCATGAATTATTTTTAAGAACAGCATTGCTGTCAGTACCCAAGGCACTGCTCCAAATCTGTGCCAGGCAGAACATTTACAACAGAAATAGTGTGTAACTCCAGAATCAACATCCCTGGTCCCCAAAGAGCTTAGGAACCTACACTGCATGTCTTGTACACTTCCTTGTGTTTAGTAAGCCAGTGATATTTATTACTTTAAAACATCTTTAAATATTTGCAAGATGGAGGCCTGAGAGATTTCTTGTCCTTACTGCCATGCTGAGATATTTCACTGGATGTTTGCTTTTCAGATCTTAAACGTTTTCCTCATGGGCATAATCCTAGGACTTTTCATTTCCCAGCAGCATCGTTTGTACTATCAGAGCGCAGCAGAGATTTGTTGGGGCTTTTTTTCTTTTTTGTCTTGTGACGGTTCAAGTTTTAAAATGTCTCACTTCCCAGCTGAGATAAAATGAACATTCTCAGAGTGTCCCTTGCTGGACATGGGTTGAATTGTGGGGGACAAGAAAGTCTAGTCTTTGCTGCTTAGACTTGCAGCCTGGCAGCAATTAAGGAGATAGGATAGTGGCCTGATTGCTATATCTGAGTTCAGGGGAGCTCCTAAACAAGAGGATGGTCCCTTGACTTCCCACATAGTTTGGAGTGGCTTTAGTTTGCTCATTCAGTTCCTTTGAACAAGCTGTCAAAGTTTCTCTCTTATTAGAAATCACTACAGGAAGCCCTGAGAGCATATTCCCAGTTTATCACCTACATCTTCTTCCCTGAGAAACTTATAACAAATGGTTTTGGTTATGGAGGTCTGATGTTCCTGGTGCTGTGAGATTGATTTAGTCTGGGATGGAAAGTGCCCTGCATCTTTCCCTGTGAGATATACACTATCCCAAATGTTCAGGCTCAAACTCAAAATGCATTGTGAGCAGCAGCCTGATGAAGTTTGCATATATCCAGATAGCTCTACACTTGTACAGTGTGTTTATAAACACGAGTAAAATTCAAGTACAATACTGGTTGCTCAGAGCTACAATTTGAACTTGAGCCAGGACTAATCTGAGAACTCATCAGTTTGATTAAAGCCCTTTGCACAGCTCGGCTAATCATGTTGCAGTGCCTCAATTTAGCTATTGTAACCGAAAATATTTTTTGGATAAGCTGATTAAATGTTGCTGGTAATGAACCATCAAGTAAATACCAGCATTAATCAAGGTACAGCAAAAAGCAGATGTATTTTTAAAAGAAGGTGGTAATTAACAAGATAATGTAGCAGTCTTTGATTGTTGGTGGGTATCTTTTTAAAAATAACTACATCCATTTTCAGTGTGGTTTTCTACATTGGACATTTAGCAGCATGTTGACACGTGTGAGGGTTATGTTTGCTCACACCCTGCCACCGGAAGCTGAAGACTCTGGCCTAGGGCAGCGGTTTTGTCCCATAGCATGTGCCCTTCTCATGCTCCTGGAGAGCTGACAGGTTACATCAGGCAAGCATGTCACAGTCAGCAACTTATGAAGTTACCCCAAGTGTGTTTCAATGTGTTGGATCCAAGTCTACTCTCATCCTGGGGAATCTCTAGCTGTTCCTCCAGGAATCTAAATCTCTTCAGAGAAATTATTGGCAAACAAATGTGTAAATTGCCTGTCTTGGAAATGATGGCATTTGCAATGCTGCTTATTACCAGCTTCCCTTAACATTTGAGTTCTTGCTTTTTGACAAAATATTTGTATTTGTTCACTTGCCTCCAAAGAAAAAAAATTTCAGTTGGCAATCAGCTTCTTGCAATCTTGTGGAAATGCAACTGCAAGAGGATCTTTGAGGCACTGACACTCAGAATTAAAAGGCGCTCCCTGGATTTTACCAGATCGACAGAGCTGTAGCAGTGCTATCAGCTGTTCCTCTCCTTACCCAATGCAGTCTGTGTGGCAGTACAGTCCCCTGAGCTTCTGCCGAGTCTGTTGCCTGGCACAGCCCAGCATGCCACTCCTTTATTGTGATAGCTTGTTATTTTAAACCCCTCCTTCATGTGGCCATTTTTCATGTCTGGAAATGCAATCATACAAGCCAGATGATTAAGTTGTCTTCAACCACGTCTCGTAGTTGTTTTCACATGTCTTGTTAGCCAACAGGTGAACTGCTATGTCAGGCTATGCTAGCACTTTACATTTAAAATAGGATTTATCTTCCTGCTAACAATCTTGTTTAAAAGAGAATTTTTTCTTGATTGTTCTTACTAGTGCAACTTGTGTATCCTTACAATACATTAAAGATAGAAAAAGAAATTGCATCTGGTGCTCACATATGGCAGAGTGCAATTGATGTAGAGTTTAGTGCAGTGTATGTAATGTAAAGCACTGCAAGTAAGCTAGGAAATGAGTGCACAGAGTTTAGGATTATAGACCACATGCTAGAAGTAGACAATAAATCAGAAGTGACATTTTAGCCATGAAATCCTCTTCAGTCTCTGGCAAATATAGAATGTTTATTTGACCTGTAGCTTAAAAGTGGCACTTGAGGAAACCGGGTGAAAAAAAAGAAAAATTAAGTGCAGAAAGTACTGTAGTCACTATCACATCTGAAATTTTAACTTCCCTCTGCTGTTTTCAGTATGCATTTAATTCCTTCTTGTATTTAAACCTGTTTATAATTCTGTACATGTAATTCCACAGTTGAACATCGGCCATGGCTGTTGAGATGATAAAGCCTGGGATTATTTTTCTGTTCCCTCATTGAGGCCGGGATTTCCTCCAAATATGTCACCTTTGGGCTCTGATCCTGCACTGTTGGAATTGCTGACCTTTGCTGTGAGCATGAACAAGGACAGATTTGGGCCGTGACAGTGCTGGTCCTGGTGTAGGGAGGTGGTGGGGCAGTGCTGCAGGTGAACACTGCACCACTTTTTCCACAACAAGGGGCACAGCCCTGGCATCTGGCTGGGACAGCAGAAGAGCAGGGACTGGCCCAGGACATAATCCAGTTCAGGTCCCAGCAGCAAAGGCAAGAGCTAGGTAAGGTGGTGATGGGAACCATGACACAGCATCTGTTGCACACTCCTTTCTGTATTCTCTTGCTCTATGCTAAATCCAGAAAAGCCACATTTCTGGCTGTTTGTATCGGTTGGTACAGAGCACAATTTCGTTCCACTTGGTAATGGTGGAGACTTGGACAGCAGCAGATGACTGGGGACACAGTCCTTGGTCAAACCATTCTCTGTCACCCTTTGGTAGCAATCCCAAAGGATCTGAGGGTTACACATTTATTCCCAGCTTTGACAAACTCAATTATTCCCTAGCAACCAGTATGGATTGTATTTGTAGCAAGTGCCTGCTAATGAAGTTCTTTTCTCACCTGTTGAGAAATGAGTTTGTCCTTTGGGTAGGCTCTGACGTCGCTCATTCTCCGAAGGACTAGCCCCAGGGTCTCCCCGTGGGACTGGCAGAGAAAACCTTCGTGTGAACCCACTGATCTGGAGTAATGCAGGGTGCCTGGTGATTATTGATGGATCTTGGAAGGGAGCAGAGGACCTGGAATGAAGATAGGAAACCCAGCATGGTGGCTAGGGATGAAGGCTGCAACATGGAGGGCACTCATCCCACCATATGGCCTCAGCTTAATCAGGCAGTCAGCTGTGTCTGGCATACTCCCTCTGAGATCTGGAATAATGGAGTGGCATGTGAAACATCTGGGATTTCAGGTGGTCGTTTGAGAGGAATGGATGCTAATTACAGAGGCAGTGTGGCCGTGGCAGATGTCAGGACTGAGTGGCATTGCCAGGCAGAGTGCAAGGCGGAGCAGCTAATACAGCTGAGCTTGTAAGCCATC